CCGGCGCGCTTGGAAGCCGGCGCTGCGCAGCTCGCGTTTGCGCTCGCCGAGCCCGTGCTCCGAGGAGCCGGCGGGGCCCGAAAGCGAAAGAGCGCGGCGCTTCCCTTCCCTTTCCTTGCGGCGGGGGGTGAGTCAGGGGGACTTTGGGGACGAGCGCCGCGGAGGCTTGCAGGATGCCCGAGTTTCGCGGGACGCCGGTCTTTTTGCAGAGCGGCTGAGGGGTCGCTTTGGCGGTTTTAACCGACTTCTCGCCTTTCTCTCCCTCCCCTCGCTTGTCCCTTCCTCCCTTCTCTTCTTCGCAGGTGATCAAAGGAAGGGAAGCAGAGACTGTCGGATCCGGGGAAGGCGGCGGCGGCGGCTGGGGAACTTCTGCCGGTGATTTTCCGGGTCTCTCGTTCTCCTTCCCCCCCTTCGCTTCGGTTTGGAGGGGGGAGAGAGGCGTTTATTCAAAGCAACACCTTCCAGCGATTTTCCCGGCACAGAGACATTTTTTTGCAGACTTCTCCCCGCTCCGGTTTTTCGGATCTGCGCTTTGACGAACGCTCAGATAAACTTCCTTTAAGTTAAAGTCTGTTTCCCCCCCGGGCCCGGTTGCCCTTTTCCTCCTTTTTTCTTTTTTGCACGGGGGCGACAGCCGAAAGGAAACCGTTCTCCCCGGCCACCCCGCCTGGTCATCCCGCGGAGGACAGCATGGAAGTCACCACGGATCAGCCCCGGTGGGTCAGCCACCACCACCCGGCCGTTCTCAACGGGCAGCACCCGGATTCCCACCACCCTGGACTGAGCCATTCGTACATGGACCCCACGCAGTATCCTCTGGCGGAGGAAATGGATGTACTTTTTAATATCGACGGGCAGGGCAACCACGTTCCTTCCTATTACAGCAACTCGGTGCGGGCCACGGTGCAGCGGTACCCTCCGACCCATCACGGTGAGTCCCCTGCCGAGAGATCCAGGACGGGAGGGGGGCGACCAGCGGGACTTGCTGTTGCTCTTCATACCCCCTCAGATCCCCCCCCCCCCCATGCTACTTTTGACAGCCAGCAGAAAGCTCCGGAAACCGAGCGCAGGGTGTGTATGTGTGTCTGTGTGAGAGAGACCGCGCATTTTCCCCACTTGCATTTGCACGTCTCGGCTTCCCGACTGCAGGTTTAAGTAAGCCGGTCGAGCCGTTAGCGGCCGAAAGAGAACAGTAATTCTGCGGAAGGCTCGCAAGGCCCAGGTTCTTTAATCCAGCGATCCCCGCCGGTCCTTAATCCTTTTTTTTAACGGGCGACATCGCAGCCTCTTTCTCTCTCTCTGGTGTGTCCCCCCCCCCCCGGTGTTACTAGGTCAGTGAAAGTTCTCGGGTCTTTCAACCTGGGCTTTGGGCTGGTTGCGTTCACATGTCCTACTTCAGCAGGCTGCTGGATGAACCGACTTGGCGAATCCTAGACTAATCAGACAGGCTGGGTTTGCACAACAGGATGAGGGGTGAAGAAGAAACTGAGCCTCAGCCCACCAAACTTGGCCTGTTGTACCAGCGCGGCTGCCAATTCGTTCATTGATCAGGCTAAGGATGGGCCTCCCTTCCCCGTTTATAGGCGGTCTTGATCCGATGGAGAACTGACCCTAGGAACGAATTCTGCCCCTCCTGTCTTTGAGCAACGGGTAAATTAGGTGCAAGTGGAATTGCGGGCAGCCTGTTCTGCACCGGAAGGGTGCTTGCTTGCACTCCTATTTCCCCACCAAGAGTTTCCATGCAATGGGAACCCTCCCTGGAGGAAGGAACGAATTATCACTTTTGAATTTGGCCTTATCTGAGAGGCCCCCCCCCCCCCAATATCTAGGGGGTATAAAGTTCTTGATACCCAGGTTAGTGACAGCCAGCCTCAGGAATCTGGAGAGACCTCTTTCTAAATCTGCACATGTTAAACTAGGCTAAAATGGAATTGGGTGAGTTGTAGGCTTAACAAGCTGTGTGAACCAATTCCATTAAGCCTTAATATGGTTGGTTGAGCACCCCATGCTTTGGGAGCGCAGCGAAGGCCTACGGTTAACCCAGCTTTAGGAACAGGCCTATTGGATGAAGCTCATCATCCAGTAATGAAGCTTTCCCAAGCATCCATAAAAAAGCTTGAGGTTTATCGCTGATTTGATTTCTCTCTCTTGGGTATCATTTCGAGTTCTTATTAACAATGCCCAATGAAAACTCAGAACGTAGCTTTTGGACACCGATTTTGAAACCACTCATTTTGGAATGAGAAAGGGAGAAAAGTTACCCTTGTAGGTTGGGAAACTACCTAAACCTACAAAAGTATTGGTTGGGAAAATATATAAGATATCATGCCTGCAAACCTTCTGAAATATAATTCCAGAAAAGAGATGTAGAATTGCCCAAGATATGGAATTAAAGTTGTAAAGGGGACCAAAAAAAATTACTCTCAAGTGGATCTGTGTTCCCTTAGCTTGTAAGATTCTGGCTGTGTATTCACGCCAAAAAAGAGACCTTGTTAGGATTTAGTGAAGTGTTCTACCTCACTGGGCAGTCACAGAACACTTCTTCCAGATAGGTGCCTGTAAAGGTCACTCAGCCACGATTAGGGTGTGTGTAATTTTAATTTCAGGAGGGCATGATAACCCAAGGGCTCCTGAATTCATAAGCGTAAATACTTTTAGCATGCTGCCCTTTGCAAAACCCAACCTTTGCAAATGTACTCAGACTCAAATGCAACTGACCAACAGGACTTCCTCTTCGTTGAGTGTAACCTTGCCCAGGTGATTTAGCCTAACAATTCCTTTGAAAACCATGAGAGGCAAAACAGTTTAACTTTTGTGCTTTTTGAACGATGGGGTAGTTTGAGAATTTGGTTTTTGCATCCAGTTTCCTTTAGGAGCTAAAAGTTACTGCTTTCCTTCCCGATCTGGAGCTCTATTTTGCTCCCAGAGCATTCTATGCTAGAAAGGGTATTTTTTTCCTAAAAAAAGGTGGAAATGCGAACACGGACAACATCAGAAATTAGTCTGTTCTCTCTTTCTTCTCAATTTGCCCTGCAAGAGAGTTTTCAAGGTGTTTTTCAACGGTTTTCCAAATCAGAAATTAGTTGCATGGGGTGTGGGGCGGGGGGAGAGAAGAGGGAAAATAACATGATATTCAGAATGCAATGTGCTAGTTAAAAGACAGAAAGTTGAGCCTTCTCCCCACACACACATCTACAATCCAGCAGTTGAGCAACCAAAATTAACCCCTGATTAGTAATTGCCTTGGTCGATTATTAGAGTTTTCACTCTGCTTACAAATGTTATTAGTCCTTCCCTCCCTTTCTTTTTAACTCGCAAGCCGTTGCTTTGATCTATCATGAGTAGGACTGACTTCCCATCATTCCTGCTTTTTCTCAGGTAAGGATTAAGCCAGATGGCACGCAGCGATCTAGTAAGGCATGCTACATGGTTACGAAAGATGCAATCATTTTATTATTGTTTCTAAAAAGTCTGTCTCTTAAGTTCTGTGTTCCGCCCAAGCAGAAGATGAACTCTGGGGCTTTTCCTTGGGGTCCACTCATTTGATCGCTGCTTGAAACTGGATTCACAATGCAAGAAAAGAAATGGGGAATGAGGCTGACTTGACTTATGCTTGATTTCATTACGGACTAGCAATCAGAATAAATTTGTTTTGGATTGGGGTCTATTTATGGAGGGGGTGGGAGAGAAAATAGAGATCTGAATGAAGAGAAATCTCTCTTCTCTCCTGTCCCTCAGATAAGGATTTTGCTCCATCAGACCAGTTGAGAAGGGGAAGGAATCCCAAATTGTTGTCCAAATAATCTAGCCACTGGTTTAAAAATATGATGTTCATCTTTCTACTCCCTATAGGCATTTCTTAGAGGAATAATGAATTCTTACTGATTGCATCCATGCATTTCCCATTCCAGCATGTTTTTATTTGGAAAGAAGTTCCTGGAATTTAAATATATTTAAATGGGTTGGGAGGGGGAGCCAGTTTGCATGCCAGGATGGTGTTGCGAAAAAGGGGAGAGATTGTTGAAATGAAGGGGTTTTCCTATCCCAAGCGGGGTGAGTGGCTGGGTGAGGTTGACTAGAAAGATCAGAGGCCTCTTAAACCTTTCAGCCGAATCTGGAAGGAGTCCTTAGTATGGCTGAAAATTACAAAGGGGTTACTCCTGAGTAAATGCATACCTTCAGCTTGGATGGAGCAGTTGGTCTTTTTTTTTATTATTATTAAAAAAAAACCACACACACAAACCTACGTCACAGGCAAGCTCAGGCTTTGAAAGGAACGGACAGCCTTTTCTGCAAAATTCTGATGAAATAAATTTGAGGGAGGTGCCTGTCCTCAATCTAACTATTTACGAAGAGTTGAGGTCCATTAGTGGGGCTTCCTTCGGAGTAGATACAAATAAAATTGCATTCATGCAGGTGGTGGTTTTCTGAGAGAGGTATTGGAAAACTACCTTTCTTCCCGCTATCCTGTACTGTAGATATTAATTTGACATGAATGCTGGGGCGGGGGGGGGGGGCTGAGGATGATTGGGCTCAATTAAACACAACGGTAGTTGCTACAGAGTCATGCATAGATGTTGCATTCACGCAGCACCCTTAACCTGGTTCCTGAACTAGCCCACTCCCTGGATTTGCACCATACATTAATGATCCATACATTTAACCAGATAGGCTGGGTTTGGTTAACCTGTTGGGCCAGCCCAGCTGCTAAGTTCATAACTGACTTGATTAAATCCATTGTGCAAAGGCAACTCCACTGGTTGGGAATATGAATGGTTAGTTTTATCTGGAGGCCGCTGGGAGCCCCAAGGCCACAATCCTTTGTGCCTTTAGTTTGACCCCAGCACTTGTGCATTAAACCAACGCAGCTGGTTTTGCTGCGTTTAAGGTCCCGGTGCGATCAGGAGGTGCATTTTACGCAGGTCGGGTTGCGTTCAGAGAGCACGCATGCTTGCTCTTCCTAAAGCCAGAACTGAGTCGAGAATTGAACATTCCCCCTTCCCTTCCCGATCTGCAGCCCAGTTCTATGCGGTTTGATGACCCATTCTTGGTGCTTCCTGGACTTTCACCCAGAACAGCAGGCATCAGATTAAAAGTTAGGCTTTGTGGGTGCAGCAGGATCCTAAGGCTGTTCAATGAATTCCCATGAGGTCAGCTAGACTGGTTCTCCGTCCCCCCCCTCTGTCTGCCCAGAGGCTGTTTCTAGAGAATAAAGCGAATAAAGTCTGCTGCCTTTTTACCCTGAGAGCTCTCCCTCGGATCTGGCAGGTAGATACGGAGCAAAGAGGGGGCTTAATCCTTATAGTTGAAGACCAGGTTTTTAAATTTAGTGCTCTGGCCTAAGGGGAAGGTAGATTGGGCCAAAAAATAGAGCTGGACAAGTATTTTGCCCTGTAAAATCCAGAGCCCTGGGATGTGATCCATTTAAGTGCTGATTAAGAGGCCAAGGAATCAATGAGAGCGGGGGGGGGGGGGGGGGGGGG